AATGGATAGTACTCACCAAGACGGATCCAGCGGTACCCTCATTTCAATTTTTACCGGCAAGATTCGGTTGTTGGCAGCGGTTTTTCACCAAGTTTCACCTCTCTGGGGGTTTGTTCGCCATTTAGGCCCCAATGCTGCCGGTAAAAATTCATCCGACACCAGAAATAGATAGTACTCATCCAGACGAATCCAGTGGTACCCTCATTTTTATTTTTAAGCGTATCTTAATTTTGTTGGCCAACTTTTTCTTTTTTTGTTGGGTTGGCCAACAAATGTTGGGTTGGCCAACATTATCCACGTTTCTGTTTCCGTAAGGACACTGATTGGTCGAGCTAATCACGTGCCTCCGCCGCCTTTCAGGTATGAGAAACTGTCAGATCAGTTCCGAGCTCCCCTCCATATTTGAGAGGTTAGGATCGGACCACACTACCATGGAAGTTTCTCATACTGGGCGGACGGAAAAAGAGAAATCAGTGAGTGTGTTCTTTTTCACTTCCGTTTTAGATAGCCTGGAACACCCTTTTGAGTTAGTCAGTTGCAGCAGTGCGTCGCCTTCGTTTCGCTCCGCCAAGCGGTCCTGCGCGCCACCGTTGATTTGTGTGATACCCACGCGTGCTACACCGATCCTAGGAGGAAACACCACACCGATTCCAAACACCAAAGCCACTGGTATAGCAGAAAAGGTAATTGGTCGACCAGGGTCATTAGTAGTACTTTGGGAGTTGCACGGTATAAACAATGTCTCATTTTGTGACAAAGAAGGGAAAACTTTGAGGACCTCCCCTGGTTTGACGAAAACTCCTCAGATTTCGAGGCAGTCTCCTAACAAAATGTGGTATTTTTCCTCATTTTTTGAGCAGATTCCTCAAAATCGGAGGCGAGATAGGAGGACTCTTCCAAAAATATGGAAGTTCCCTTAAGTTTTCCCTTTTTTCTCAAAAAATAAGACATTGTTTGTACCGTGTGTGGCGCGATGCAGTTCTTAGGCGATATGTGATATTTCCAAGGCCACAGGAGGCCGTTGGTTTCTCTCGCTCGTGTGTTAGGAATAAAGGGATATGGAAAGTATTTTTGAATGTTTCATGTATCGAGTAACGAAGTAACGGCGTTACCAGTAACGTAACGCGTTACACTTCTGCAAAGGCTGTAACGGTATCGGTAACGCGTTACCGAGGGTAGAGTAACGAGGTAACGGTATCGCGATACATTTTCAAAGTAACGTAAACAACCCTGCTGGTAGACCCTGTTACCCTATACCCTGTCCTTAACTCGTCTCGGATGTCAGAGCCGCAGGCCAACTATATGTTCACCACGCGCGTCGCACCGTAACAGTGTTTCGTGAGATATCGCGAAGCCTGTTACGCGAGACGTGGTCTGGCGTATATGTAGCTAGTATTACTCTATAATTAGGAACATGAAACTTTTGCTGTTCGGTAACGGTTTTCATAAAG